TGGACTCGAAAAGGAGTTATTTGGAGCGTTAGAGAAGAAGTCCGGATGAGATACTCATGTTGCGACATCAATAACTTTCTCTGCAGAAGTCCAAATCATGCGAGCTGGTATCATTGGAAAGAGCACTTCAAGAGCTTCGCGTAGACATCAAAATCGCGTAAATCCGACACCGGAGCAGAAAGTTATGAGCAAATTCGTGAAGAGTCCGAGTCAGATGGGCCCGACTTGACTCGGTCCGAGTCAATACTTTGACTCGGTCGAGTCAAAACATAGAAAAACCCTAATTCACAATTTTTAGAGTTCTAATGAAAGGAGAACTCTTGGGAGCCGCCCTAAGGTTATAAAATAGACCTAACCACGTCCTAGAACAGAGGAGAGCCTTAGAGAACACTTAGAGACAGACTTTACACAGACTTTGGAGAGCTTTGGTGAGAGAAATAGGAGTAAAACGGGATTTCGGGAAGAAGAAGGAGAGCTGGAACGTGAAGAACGCATTGCTGTCGACATGAGCCTTTCTTCTCCCTCTTTTCTTTCTGTTTCTAGTTTTTCTCAATGTTTTTCCATGAACCGTGAGTACATCCACGGCTGTGGGTTAGGGATTCGTTTGTGTTTTGGGTATGTTTGAACCTTAACTTGGTTGCAATTTGGATTTGTTTCGGTTTTATCGATTTGTGCTTTATTCGATTGGTGTTTGCTGACCCCTTGCCAATTATTTCAGATTCTGAACTACATAGGAATATGGGTTTAGTTTCGGAACAAAATCGATAGGATAGATCGTATTATTCACATAGGAATATGGTTTGATCGATCTAGGGTTGATGATAGTGTTCTTCATGCATCTAGTTTGATAAATCACATAGGGATATGGATTTAGAAAACCTTAGATAGTGAGTTATATGCTGGAAGGTGATTTCTCTATTTTTGTTACTTGATGATTCCCGAATACAGATTCAATATCGTGATTCTCGCATGCTTAGCATATACCCATACACGCGAATACGGTCCCGACACCCACGGTCATCTTTGCTTGATAGTTACACATTTTTATTTGCTTTCTTATTTTTGTTATTTTAGATTCCACTTACTTCCACCATCACTTTCGCTTGTTTGCTTTGATCTATTTTCGATTGAGATTTGGATTTAGCAACCGGTCCTTGTGTTCGACCCCGTGTTACGACGATCCGTATCCTTGCGGTGAGTTGTGAATCGGGTTATAGATTTTAGACTCGATACACACGTATTAGTGGACCAGTTGATATTGGTTCTACATAAGGGTTTCGTTTGGATGACCCATCAGCAAGTTTCCTTTTGCTTCTTTTCCTCAACTCTGCATCAGAGGAGCCAGCTACAACAGTTTTGGGAATTTCTGCTGGAGGTTGAGTGACTTCATCTTCAATAGGGGGACAAATCCTTTGTCAGAAGATTCTGCGGCTGTCTCATCCTCTTCCTCAGCTTCTTCGCCTGCCTTATCCTCGTCGCCATCGCTTTCACTCCCATCACCATCAGTGTCATGTTCTTCTTCTGTATTCTCTACCTCAGTGCCAACATCTTCTTCTTCTGTATTCTCATCTTCACTGCCAGCATCATCTTGAGCTGCCTCGTCCTCATCATGGTCACTGTCATCTTCTTCAACATCTTCTTCAAGGTCATGTCCTGAACGAAAAATAAAGTATACAATCAGATTAAAACATGTGACCATATTCACATGGTACCATGTGACCATATTCACATGGTATCATGTTACCATATTCACATGGTACCATGTGACCATATGAACATGGTCTCACGTGACCAAATGACAAAGTTCGCATACTTACTTCCTACTTGTGCGATGATGTTAGCCACCATTTGGTCCATGGAAGAAAACTCTTTCTCCTTACGCAATGGCTCTTTCTCCTTAGGCGTTGGCTCTATCTCCTTACGAGATGGTTCTTTTTCCATCATCAATGTCTCCTGTGTCTGTGTCTTCTCTTTTTCTGACCCCAATAGAGTCACATCTCTCTGTCTTAACTCAAAAACTCCAACATCTTCATCGTAATATTCGTCGGTTCCGAAATGCAATTTTACGCTGTGACCATTGTGACCGACTGTGACCTGTGACCGAAATGTATTGATAAATATAGGCCAAATTTTAATTTTTAAGCTTTTTCTGACCCCAACATTTTCAACCCAATTTTTTTTTCTTCAAAATTTTTTCAATCAAAATTTTTTCTTTCCATTTTTTTTTCACCCCATATTTTGTAGTATCTATAAACAAGTTTAGATATAAAATAAACATAAAATATAATATCATAACAAAAAAATTTGTAATTTTATAATAAACAAACAAAATGTCATATTTATAGTTCATAACAAAAATAAATAAGTTCATAACATAAATAAGTTATTGATTATACTTCTGAACACTTCCATTGACAAATATGACATGTGTCAACTGCTCACGCATCTGGGTGACATTGTCATCACATATCAACGGGCACAATTTTCCTTCTTGTCCAAAGCATATCGCATCGGCATATTTTACCGCAAAAATACTACACTCACAGCCATTAGCATTCTGAGGTAATCCATCCACATACTCAATATCGAGTACATCGCCATCATAGAAACTTTCTAACCCAACGATGAGACAAGTTTTTGGAATAAGATGACTGAGCTTCTGAACTACCTTGTCCATATTTTTTCCTTAATCGGTTTAAGCAGTCATAAATCTGGAGTCTAATTGAAATCCAGCTTAATTGTATTCCAACGGGACCTTGTGACTGTGTGATCATGTGACTTTGTGACCTTGTGACCGTGTGACCATGTGACCATGTGATCATGTGATCATGTGACCATGTGACCTTGTGACCATATGACCGTGTGACCATGTGATTATGTAACCCTATGAACTTAGAAAAATATGAGCAAGTAACCATATAAACTTATAATATATGTGATCCATATAATCATGTGACCCGTGACCATGTGACCTTCTAATCTTGTAACGACACAACCGTGACACCAAAATGACCATCTCACATGTGATCTTGTGACCATACAATCGTGTTACCTGTACGACCTTGTGACTTTTATGAACGTGTCCGTGTGACCATGTCATTCGAATCGTCATGTCACCCATACAACCAAACATCGATTCATGTGATATTGTTACCTATATGACAATCCTAAATAACTTTGTGACCGAAACTCACTCATTTCACTCGATTTTAACCTTAAACCATCAAACCCAATATTTTATTTTGAAATCCCCAAATTTTCAAAATTACCCAAAACCCTAATGCTCTCGAGTTCAAATCTTCAACCCATACTCAAACTAAATAATAAGAAATCTCAAAATCAAACAAATGTGCAAACAGATCAAAATTTAACCTACCATGTGTTTTTCTAACTATGCAATCTCCATCAGGTTCTCATTCTCGCTCGAAGACTGTGACGAAGACGAACTCGAATCCATGTTATGCACTATCATCGTTAATTCTTCTTCTAATCTTCTCATATTTTGGTAGGTAAATAAAATTTGTGAAAGAAAACGAAACTTATGGCACAAATCGACGAGAAAGAGGAGAGTTCGTCGATTCTGCAAAGAGAAAAAAAATGGCGATTAAAGAGAGAGGGGAGAGAGAGTTAGACGTGACCTAGAGGAGAGAGAAAGAGAGTAATTTCTCTCATTTAAAGTTTTTTATTTTTATTTTGACTTTTTAATCTGTGACAAGGTTTTTTGGTCCTTTTAATATATTATGAGGGGTTTTGTGTCTTTTGTAGTATTTTTTGTTCTTTTTTTTGATTTTTTGTTTGGAGGGTAGGATAAAAAGTAGATGTAGCTTTTGGAGGGTATTTCAGCTATATCCCCGTCCTAAGGCCGTCGAGGATTCTACCGTCTGAACATTTATGGACAGCGAACCTGAACTACTCGTCGGGTTCTTGTCTTAAAAACATCGTACAGTTCTAATACTAAAACATAAAGCGGCAGAACGTTTTTCTCCACATGGCTTTAGGAAAAAAAACGGATAAATCTTATTAAAATTTTTAAACTTATAAAACGTCAAAAAAACTATTTTTTAAACTTTTACGGTGATAAATAAATTTTCTAATTTGAAAAAATCATCACTAAAAATTTTAAATTTGCCAAACAGTTAGATTAAATATTGACCAATGTTGACGGTAAACTCCGTTAATTGACATCTTACATGTTATTTTAACACCACATAAGCAGTCGAAATTTAACGCGTAACTTATCAGGGGCATTATCAAAAATACTATTAATTTGCTATTTTGACTTCAACACATATCTTTCTCCAGGTGTTATCATGTGACCCATGTGATCCGAAATACACTATGGTACATATTGATTTCATTGCTCATAACGTTAAATTTATTATATTTTAATCAAATGATTAGTAAGATATTCAAAGTATGAACATAATGAATTAGTGTGATCACCATAAATTTAACGTTATAATCAATAAAATCAAAATGTGATATCCTATATTTTGGATCATATGGGTCATATGATCACAGTTGGAGAAAGGTATGTGTTGAAGTCAAAATAGAAAAGTTAGGGTATTTTTGATATAATACCAGCTTATCACGTGGTACAAGATCGAAGCTGATCTTTACTCTATTTTCGGTCCATAAATTTTTGGATCGGGTTAGACAATCATGCCTTAATTTCTTAAGCCCAAACCCATAAATTTTACCGGCAGGTTCGTACTATCAAACCCCTGTTTTTTATGATAGAATTTGTCGAAAGAAGAAAAGATTAATTGATCGAGTTCTCGAGTTAATTGTAAACCTAGATTTGACGGAACGAAGAAGAGATTTAAACGTGTAACTTTTTATTTCATTTTTTACAGTCTAAATCTTTTACGATTACACGATGACCAAAAGTAACTTTAAAGGATATTTGGGTAGTATTGGGAAAAAAAAAAGAGTATACTTTGCAAACTGTAAATTGTTTTGGCACATTTTGTCACGACCCTCTTGTTATTATCGGCATTTAACAAATTGTTATTGATTTTAATTTTAAAAAATTTTACAAGACCACTTTGATTCAGATTCTCACATGCATCTTTAGTATATATACACATTGCAAGTTTTTTATACAACACTAGAAGCATAATAATAACCTTAATACTTCAGAACGTGCAGTGATCCTTCAAGACCTGCCTTGCGAGGTCGAACGCCCCGCTGTTCTTGTAAATCAGATGCAGATTGTATGCCGCTTCTCTGCGGAGGTCGCAGTTGACGAGCTTACGCTCTTCGGCGACATTCGGATCCTCGTTCGGGAGTTTTGGTGATGGGTATTCCTTCTCGTGGATTTCGAGCACCTTCTCGTAGTACGGCGCTGCCAAAGTTACTAACCCTACATGGTGATACGCACGGGCTATGTTATACAACGCCTCCTGCATAAAATGAATTTCGTTATGCATAAACCGAACCAATCCAAACCGAATTCCATATAAAAATTTAATGGTTATGATTTTTGTAAATGCTAAAAATCAAATCTTTGAAAAATGAGCATTTTTATCACCAACAAATGAGACCAAACGGATCTAATATAGAAACCATATTGATATAGATTTCTATTTTCTTATACCGAAAAGTTCAAACCCGAATCGAAAACCGAAAATTTCTGTGGAACATGAGCATTTTTGTCAGAGAAAACTAAACCTGAACCGAAAATAAACAGAATCTAATATAAGAACCAAAGAGATATAAGCTTTTGAAAACCGAGCCGGTAACCGAAACGTGCCCACAACTAACGAAAACACCATGAATTTCACAAGTGAGATCGAAAGGCTACCTGACTATTGTTGCAAATCCTGAGATTGTTGTAGAGAAATGCGAACCCTTGAGCGAGGCACTGATGCTTGTTCTGGAGTCTAAACCCAAGAGCTAAATTGATCAAGGAATTCCCTGAAAGACAGTGGAAAAGAGAGGATGATGAACTTTTCTGCATGTTTTCTGGTAATGAATAACGAGAAAAGAAAAGAAATAAACTTACCGACAAAGAGATTAATCAAAGGGTTCTCAGGCAACAATTTATATGCTTCGAGGTATTCTCTGGCGGCATCTTGATGTCGGCTGGTAACGGTAAAGTGGTAACCCGCAATGAGAATTGGCGGCACACAATCTCTGTGCTTGGACCGCAAGTGATGCATGAACTTAGCTTCCGTGGAAATTCGTTTACCGAGTCTGTGGATTTCCAACCGTAATGAGATATTTGTCAGTCTTTTCATGCCACCCACAAAAACCCGTTTCATAGCTTTTAATCTCAAGAATTTTCGAGTAAATCTGCATTGTATTACCTTGAAATCACTCTGAAGTAGCAGTTCCAAGCATCCAAACGATGTGGATGCTGCTGAATAACATATCTCACACAGTCAAACCACTGCTTTGGGTCCAAATTGTCGCATGATATTTCTGTTAACCACAAAAGAGAAAACCCTAATCTTTCAGTATGCAAAAGCAAAAGCCTCTACACGACAATTATCAGTGTATAGTGAACAAAAGAACTATAAAGGCTTTGCATGAGGAACATAGAACTACAGTACTACACGATGATAAATATCCAGATCTTCAGAAGATATAAACTAAGGGTTTGAGTTAAGAAGTTACGAGCTCCAAGCAACTGAAGCTCCTTCTTCTTGTCAACAAGCAGCATTTTTGCATCCAACCTCCGAGCCAAATTAATTATCTCAAGAGCTTCCCAGTACTTCTGCAACGATGTCAATGCCTTGCACAACTGCAACATACAACTTAGGGTTTCATAACCAGACATAACCAACATGATTCTGCCCTTTGAACAAGGAAATTTGAAAGCAAGAAAAGCTTAATGGACAAGCAATTCTACACATTCGATAAAATATTACAGAAGGGCCTGAGAAATTACATCCACGAGGAGATGGTGATATTCATCATCCCTTATAACTTCTTCCTAGAAACAAAAGTATCCATCATAACTCAGTCAATATAAGAGACCACACGAAATTTAGAGGAATACAGAAACAGAGAAGAAAAGAGGCAAGTGAAGCAAAGGAACGGAGTAACAATGGGCAGAGAAGAATAATCTACGATGAATATTAATTACTTCTTACCCTCGCTGCCAGGCATGACTAACCCAATGTAAAAACAAAACCTTAACCTGGCGTAAAATCTACATATACGTGGTAGTGGTAGACTGACAAAACTAGTGAACTTGAACAGTGTACATCAACGATTACCTCAGATTCACCAGAGTTGTCTTCTTTCTGAGCTGTAATAGCAACCCTTTCTCTAATTCTCTTTGTTTCATTTAAGGTTGCCCTGATTTTGCGCATCTTTTTCGGTCCACAACCCCTCAACCTTGTTCAACATGTTTTCAAGACAAAAATTACTGTGTGGTTTTAGGTATTCTTCTTAAAGAGAGGAGATACCCACCAGACAAATTACAAGACAAGTGGAATGTGTGTGTATGTGTGTATTATATGTGTGTATGTGTGTATTATACTCACAGGACAGTTGGATCATCTCTTTGAAGTCGGCGCCTTCTGTTTCGTTCTTGTTTCACTCGTTCAGAAAGAGAATCCACTGAGCGCTTCCTTTTCCCCTTAACCTAAATTTTTAACAATCCCCAAATATTAGATCAGAAAAACTCTAGCACAAAGTGGAAATTTTCAAACGGATCAAAAAATCTTAAAAAGCCCACTAGATATATGTCTCATTTGCTTTCGGTGTTATATAAGACGAAAAAAATATAAGATTATATCACAAAAGTACATGTAGTTGAGGTCATTACCTTCCGCCTGACCCACTCAAGAACCAATTGCAGAGCTGTCTCAACAAAGTTCTCAAGCATTCCCTCGGAATGATAGATTTGGCAAAGCCTCATCCTAATCTGTCTATTGCGCCACCATGCCTTCTGTTTATCATCATTAGGATCTATACCTGCAGACACCAGAATTATGTTTACAAACATTTCTCCGCATGGTAGAGTTATACCATTGGACGAGAAGAAAAATATCCCAACAATTAAAGAAATGTAATAGAAGTATGGCTGTATTCGAGGTTTCACGGATTAACCTGTCCAAGAGCTATTTAATTATCATTTGATCATAGTATCATACAAAACAAAGATCTTAGGAAATGGATGCATGGGATTAGAAATCTCATGATGCTTGCTAGATTAGAGAACCAGAAGACATCATACTAACAGGTGTTGACCTGAATTTGCTGGAGGAGACAACACAAATATAGCTTCATCTCGTTTGCCATCCTCCAGGAGAAGTGAAGGCAGAGTTAACCATGCGGCAATGTCATCGAGTACATTCAAAGCTGAAAAAAGAAACTTCAGTGTTTAGTCAGATGGAAGCTAAACATGATATGATTACAAAGAAACTAGAAGAAAATAGAAACGAGAACATCTATAACTAAACAAAGAAGATTCGACTTTTAAAACCCATGGGCCACTTTTCAGGTAAGCATACAGTAAGCCTTCCAGAAGAAAACTAACTAAAAACAGTAAACAAAATGGTTTATGGCAAGAACAAAATGAACACATGGCATCGAGAAGCTCCTTCCTTTTAGTAAATACAAATATCAAACCAATTGCATCAACCCCTGGATATCCAGAATGAAGAAGTACCTTTATAGAAGAAACCAATGGCTTGTGTTCTTTCTGCCAGTGACTTATAGCAATGAGCAATTTTCAGAAGCAAATAGCCATCCTACAAGGACATCATAACATTAATTAGCAGAAAGACGCAAGCAGCCGGACAATAAGCGTGAATACCTTCTTGAGGAAAAAACGTCACCATTTCCAGTAGCATCTAAACAAAGAGAGCATCCTAAACAATATACAAACACAAGACATGCTGCCACATGGGTGAAACTTAGTTGATAAATAATCGCAACACAATGCTCTCAAGGGTAACAAAGTTTTGCAGCACTAAAATACTAATATATTCTATATGACTAATATGAGCAATCGCTTTGAGAAATTCCAAAGAGACCATATTATAGAGAGGAAAGTCTGAGACAACTCCTGAGGAGCTTTTTTTCGTTTTATTTAAGTATTCCATCAGCAGCTCTATGTCCACCTTTAAGAGATCCAAACCAGCAGATATTTAAATGAAACATGATAAGGAAAACAAGTGAACAGTCCACTTACATTCACAAATCCAGCATTGGATTCCAACAAGTGATAGTACTTGAGAGCAGAGTGGAAGTCGCCAACGTTAATAAATTCATCAGCCAATTCAGAAATCAGATCTGTATGCTCATATACCGCCTCTTGTGGTAATATATTTAACAGATTCTGCAGATTAAGTGAAGAAAACAGATTTGTATTAAACTTTCAGCAGGTAAATCTTAATCTCTCTCAGACAAAAGTTTCTATTGGTGGTACAAGATTAAAAAAATGTACACTTCAAATGCTGAAATCATTGCTATAAGACACCACAGGTGTACAACAAAGTGCAGAGAAGACATTAAAACAACTGCAAATATAACTCACACGACAAAAGAATGTGAAACATGAGCTTGAGAAGCGAATCATGAGAATAACCGATACTAAAAATGATAAGTAAGAACCATAAAGACAAGTACAACCATCCTAACAAGGCTTCTTCTCTTTTCCCCTTCCATTTTTTAATTTTTGGCTTCCAAATAAAGCGAATATAGCAACTATAATTCATGCACAACATATTACACGGTTCCAGGCTCCTCTAAATTTGGGGAACAATGCAGAACGTGAGCCTATCCAGCAGAAGAATCAAAAGCGCCTTAATAACACTAAGGAAATCTTCCGGAACAGTATCTAGCAAATCTACAGAAAAGGGTCCAAACCTCAGCCATCTTCAGTTCTTTAAGGTGAACGTGACAGATAACTTCCCTGATTTTCAAATTAGAAGTAAGTTCTTTCCTGTGATGGTAAGTCTGGCGCATGTCTTCAATAAACTTAAGAGCTCTGTCATATGCATTAACTTTCATGAAAACCGCAGCCAGCAAATCAATCACATCATGACCAACTTCAGATGGATTTGATTTAATGTGAACCTCCAAGACACTTGCTGCTCGCTCACCCTCGCCACATTCCAGGTAATACTGAAGAGAGAGAAAAATAATGAAGTTCGTAAGATCAAAAGTCAAAAACATTTCCTTTTGTTTTTCTTTTTCTGTGGCAAAGTGGCATCCTGGTAATTAGGTATGAGAAGACAAATCAGCCTTGTCAGTAACAATGAATTTCAACGTAAGCATCTACATCAGGACATATTGTGAATACATGACATAACAAGAAGCTAATCAGGTGAAGGAATAGACAAACAGGATCATGGATTTGGCAAAGTACAATAACCTTTAGTTTAAAACAGAAAACTTCATACATATTTTAGAAAAACTATTACACAAGCTTGACAACTACATCACAACAGATCCACCAAATGACCCCTCAATGTTTTACCAAGAACAAGAAAAACGTGCACAAAAAGATAATAAAGAAAATAGACAATGCACCAGCCTGTAAAAAGAAATTTATACTTAAACAATGCTGCTTCTCCCAAAAACCAACAAAGACAGGTGAAGTGAAGACTCAAGAGAGGAAGAAGTCAAGGTAAGAGACACTACTATTTATAGGTTGTCTTTATTTCAGAGGACTTATCCCCTAAAAACATGCGACAACATTGAGTGCTTATGAAACAAAAATTCGATATGCATTAAACTGCATAAAATATGGTAAAAGATTTCTGTCCACCTAAAAGATGTAACATCAATCATAAACATGACAGCTAACCGTGCCAAATAATGGCTTATTTTGCTCAAGGAGTTCTTAACACTTTGGCTAAGTAAACCGAGCAAAATACTTCTAAAGAAGAACTAACTGTCAAAAGTAGAAATGTATCAAACAGTTATATCAAACATGAGGATTGATAAACAAAAAATATCCAGTACAAACGTGCATATAAGTCATGCATGACTCATGATACACATATATGTATACTTAGCATTTTTAATGTTTTTGCTTTACAAGATGTTGCAAAGTAAGATTGGCATGAACAAACTACACTTACTTGAACCACTCGAAAAGCACTTTACAGGAATATGAATCACGTCTAACGGCTGCATGTAACTTGAAACCCCCCATAGCTAATTTGGTTTCACCAAGTGCTTCAGAAACAAGTGCAAGGGTATCATATGCATCTGGAAACCTGGTGCTTGATGTATTACCCTTTGCAAACACGACAAAGCCTGGGTAGAAGTAAACACATTAATCAGGATAGATCCACATACTTGGATGCAATATTGAGGGGTTACATTGAGGATATTATTTGGAAACATAAAGACAAACCTAGTAATAGTTTTCATTAAACATAACATCAGCTGGGCGTTCTCCAGTTTTACATTTTACCCCAAAGAATTTCAGAATACAAAGAAAAATTTTAAAAAAAATACAGAACCCTCACCTCACTAAACCGACCATGCCCATAGTGAAAAAGAGCCTCTGTATAAATTTTTGTTATTTCAGGTGGAACTTTTTTCTTGGAACCCTTTCTTCTTCCCCATCTTTTATGCTGAGGAAAATAAGGAAATATTAGTTTAAAACAGCAAAACCTATTGCAACAGCTCTAGTCGCACAAGATCACAGTAAGAGCGCAGGAGATGATAATTTCATTGAAGTGTAACATGGGAAAATGAACAAAGAATTGGATGTAACACGTCAAGGACAATACGAAACAAAACACAAATAAAACACATGATATTCAAACCTATAATTTTGTTTGGATGTAACATGGGAAAATGTGGCATTTCGAATATATTCTCAAAGAATTAATCAATCTAGGATAAACAGATGAATCAAACTTTACACCGCAAGCAACAAGCTGGCTCTCGGGATTTGACAATACTGGCTCGTCAATGAAACATACCTTCCTTGATTTTCGTCGGCCACCATAAACAATAAACTCCATAATTCCTTCCATGCCTGGGAGATTATTAGCGTCATACTTAGCCCTCTTTTCAGAATCATCACTGTCATAGTCACGGAACAAATGACATTCAGAAATGGAGAGAAGGAAACATAAAGGTAGCACCTGCCTCAGAAAGCCAACTAAGAGTTGCATAGACATTGTGCGTTGCATCTGTTAGTGTAAAACAGAAAGCCTAGGAAAATATATCTTTCATCAATCAACGTAGGAACAGTGAGGGAATTTGAAGAATTGGTTCAGTGAATTGCATAATCTCGGTAACATGGTCATAGTCACAGCATCCTATAACATTTTACTCGTGTACAGCAAACTGATATGGATTATGGAATGACTTACCATTGAGAAAGTGCTTTACGCTTCTTCTCAGCCAGAGCTTCATACTCGACGCGCTCAAATTTATCGGGAGTTTCACTTCTACCCTCGATCTCATATCCTTCCTCAGATTCATCGTCGTCATTGTAACTGTCTTCCTGGCCTTTTTCATCACTATCTTCCTCATCATAATCATAATTACCATCATCAGCATTAGCACCACTACCATGTTCTTCCTTGTCGTCTCCCATATTGTGTGTGCCTCCTAACTCAAGAATTGGAATTTGAAAACGTTCCCAAATGAAAAAAAAATTGTCAAATTGACAAAATAGAAAAAATAGAAACTTTGCATGGTTGTAGGTCTTCGATACAGAAAAACAAAAACACAAAAGAAGTTGAAGAAAAAGGAGCTTGCAGAAGCGGAGGAAGAAGACAGGCTTGCGTTTCTCAACTTTCTCTCTCCTATTCTTTTTTTATTTATGTGGTGTATCTCTTTTGTTTTATTTATGTGGCATACGTGTATTTTATCTATTGAAAGTTGAACACGTTTCAATCTATCTTTAATCTTTATGATTTTATCAATATTTATCTTTTTATATTTTTATTGTAATATGATATTTTTTAAAAAAAATTAAATTCTAATTTTGTTTTTATATATAAACAGGATTAATTATATCAATCGAAGATGGACAAGTTCACCGCTTATATCTACATCTAGAAAGACTAGAAAAGATCTGGGGTAGAAATATGCTATAACCATGGAAGAAAATGATACAAATAATCTCATATGCAAATTTTGTACAAAACTTTTGCGAGGAGGTAGAGTTAAGGAGCATCTGATGGGAAAGAAGGGTAATACCATTGTTTGTGAAAAGTGTCCGAAAGAAGTACAACAAGAGTTATGGGAGTTGTACAAAAGAAAGAGGGCTAATAATTCCACTGAACCCAATCCCAGGGAGATTGATCTTGATGATTTGGGATTTGGAATATCTGAAGGAGAAGAAGAAATTTCACGAGCAAAACAGAACAAGAATATTGATCTAAAAGGTCCTATGGATGTCTTTATAAGAAGACCCGAAACTGCTATTTCAAGGAAAAAGAAAGAAATGATACACAACAAAATATTAGAGAAGCATGCAACAAAGACTCCATCAATATGGTTCACCAATTTATTGTAAGATGGTGGTATCAAGCTGGAATTCCATTCAACAGTATTAAATTACAGAGTTTACAAGATATGGTGCATACTATTGGAAAATTCGGCCCAAACCTTCCAGCCCCACCCCATCTTATCATTAAATAAGGGTGCCATTACTCATTAAAGAGCTTGCCTATACCAACTCATTGATGGTGAATCATAAGAATCAATGAGAGAAACATGGTTGCTCTATTATATATGTCGGATGCTTGGACGGATAGAAAACAAAGGTGTTTGATTAACTTCTTGGTGAATTCTCCTGCAGACACAATGTTTATAAAGTCCGTAGATGGATCTGATTTTGTGAAGACGAGTCAAAAGTTGTTTGAGATGTTGGATGCTCTAGTTGATGATATCGGAGAAGAGAAAGTTATTCAGATAATATCCGATAATGGAAGCAATTATGTCTTAGCAGGTAAGATGTTAGAGGAAAAAAGACCACATCTCTTTTGGTCTTCTTGTGCGGCTCATTGCGTGGACTTAATCCTTGAAGACATTGGAAAAATTCCTTCGATTAAGCTCACAGTAAGAAGAGGCATATCTGTTGTTGGATTCATTTACAACCACTGCAGCACATTGAGTTTGTTGAGACATTTCACAAACAAGAGAGAATTGGTAAGACATGCTGTCACTCGTTTTGCCATATCCTATCTTACATTAGAAAGGCTTTTTCAAGAGAAAAATCATCTTAGAAGAATGTTCACTTTGAGTGAATGGAGAGCAAACAAGTTGGCAAAAGAGTCAAAGGGAAAGGAAGCTGAAAAAATTATCATCATGCCTTCATTTTGGAGTAACGTGATATATACTCTCAAGGTTATGGTTTCGCTTGTTAAAGTGTTTCGGCTTGTGGATAGTGAAAGGAAATCAGCAATGAGCTATATTTATGAAGCAATGACAAGGCAAAAGAAGTTATCGAGAATTCTTTCAACCGTGATGAAAACAAATACAAAGATGTAATTGCAATCATCGATAAGCGATGGGATTGCCAACTTCATCGTCCTTTGCATGCTGCTGGTCATTATTTGAATCCTCAATATTTCTTTAGCAACCCTAAACTTGAGAACAATATGGAAGTGGTTGATGGATTATACTAGTGTATTAGTAGATTGGTGCCATCTCAAGATATTCAAAATAAGATTTTGAATGAGCTTTCTCTTTATAAATCAGCTGCAAGTCATTTTGGAATTGACTTTGCAATAAGACAAAGGAATACCATCTCTCCGAGTAAGAAGAGAATAACTTTAACTTTATACTTTGTTTGATTTTATAATTTGTTGGTTTAGTGCTCTATGATGTACTGTTTGCGAGTTTTACTTGGATGCATTTGATGTATTGACGCTTTCTATGATTTATGGATGAGTGTTTGATTCATTACGTATTGTGCATATTTGATATGTTATGAAATCCATGTATTGTTATGAACAATACTAAACTCCCTAGTCATGTATCATTGTGGAAATAATGATATACCAAGACTAGTATGATGTGTAATTGATGATCATATAGATGATCATATGTATTGGATACGATCACAATCATAGGTATTCGTTGGAGAACGGAATACTGGATGAACCGCATGAGATTGTCACATGGACTAGCGTCATGACTTGAATCTCATATGGCGGTTCCATGATTGGATCCTAAGACCTGAGATATCTATGGAATCCAACATGAGGAGTTGCGTGCTTTGAATACGTCAAACTTCCAGCGTAACAGGAGGACTATAAAGGCGTGTGTCAGGTACGAAACAAATCATGTGCTGGATTGTAGATAGTCAAGGTGGGATTTGTACCTCTCGTAAAAGAGAGAGATATCGCTGGGCCCCTCGTGTGAGCGAGATTGTAGAAATGTGTGGCCGCACTATAGACGAACGTCGTCTATTTCAGACAGTCGAACTCAGTGAAAGAGAAAGCAGTCGAATCAGATAAGGTGGCTTGTCCATGTCTTATATTCGACTATGATATCGTGATACAAAAGGATCATCAAACGGAATCATCACTAGCGTTCGTAGGATCACGAACAAACTCTATTCGAGATAGATAGTTATAGTGTCTTGCTAGAGACCGCCTATGACTTGTGTAACCGAAATAAGAGATTTCGGGTTATACTGCTATATCGGATGAGCCTACAGGGTCACACACACAGGAAAGGACGAATGCGCGAGAAGAGACAAGAAAGTCCCGGTGGAGCAGAGGCCAGACCGACCGGTCCAGAAGGTCTGGACCGATCGGTCCAGCCAGCCGAGCCCGATCGGTCCAAACGTAGACCGGTCGGTCCGGAGGTAACGTGTGAAAGTCACTCGGTCCGGAAATTGTTCCAGACCGATCGGTCCAGACGTCGGGATTTCCTAAACTCGCTCTAATTAGGGTTTTAAGTGGAATTAACTTTGGGGAAGGCCTCCTAAGCCTCTTGGAAAGTTTTTCAGACCCTATTGACAGGTTTTGAGAGTGAAAAACCTAAGAGTTAGATCCCTGAAACCCTTGCGCAAAGAGGAACGTGTTCTTCAGTCCTAGCAGACAAGTTCCAACCGTTGGAATCCTTTCCGCCGTGTGGATATGTGTAGAGGGCAAGGTATTCTTCCTGCCTACAGTGATCGGACGAACACATCAATTGATACAGGCCCCGGATCGATTGAGGTAAGCATTCTAATGTTTCTACAAGATCATGCATGATAGGTTTTAGGGTTTCATCAAAATTTTTGTTTTACATCCGCTGCGCAAACCCTAGAACTGATCTCTTAGGAATTAGATTCGCTCTTGAGATCTCAGGAAAACCCAACATAATTAATATAAAATTATAAGTTTCTTATATTCATTTTTTTTGTAGCTCAATGGTGGAAACATTATGGATGTTCAACTCCGAATTTGCAAAATTTGGCAATCAAGATTTTAAGTCTAACATGTATAGTGCTTCAGGGTGTGAATGCAATTGGAGTGTATTTGAACAAGTAAATTTTTTTTATCACTTTGATATATTTTTTTAATCATTTTATATTTAACATAAAATACTTATATTATAATTTTATTGTTTTTGCATATTCATTCTAAGAAAAGAAATAGGATTGACCATAAAAGATTGCAGAACTTGGTTTTTGTGAAATATAACCAAGCTCTTGTTTGGATGCACGATATTAAGGATGAAATCGATCCAATTGTACTAGATGAGATTGATATGCGTAATGAGTGGTTGGTCGGTGAGATTCACAATGATGAAGATGATTGTGGAAATGGTTTAGTCTTCGAAGGTGATAATGGATTAGATTGGAAAACCGTTTACAGAGAACCGAGACTTGGAGCACCTAGAGCGAATACTAGACAACAATCTAGAGGAGGAAAGAACGCTTCAAGTTCAACATCGTCTAAGGCAAAAGGAAATGGTATCATGATTGAGCAAGACTCCGATAATATCGGAAAAGAATTAGAAGAAAATAACTTGGAGGATTCAGAAGGAGAAGAAGAGGAAGGATATGCACCAATAAACCAAAATGAAGATTTTGGTTTACTTAGCCAAAATGTTAGGAACTCCTTCTCCAAAACAAGTCATTATTTGACACGGTTGTCTATTCGAATGTCCTATATTCATTAAGAAATAAAAGTAAAACAAGATGTAAAAATTCATACTCCGAGTCTAGATTCAGTCGACAAACATAAACCCAGAATCAGATTCAATCTACCAATTTAAACCCACAATCGCATAAACACACAAATAAATACAATCGTGCAAACACAGACATGAGAACAGAAGACGAAGAAAGAAGACGATGAAGAAGAGAGAGAGATCCGACTATCTTCGACAAAGAGAGAACGGTGGTCGTCGTCTATCGATCGAGAGAGGCGGCGGATAGATGAGACGAGACAAACCCAGACAAGAAACAGCGACGTGAGGAGAAGAAGAAGAAGAAGAAGAAGAAGAAGAAGAAGAAGAAGAAGAAGAAGAAGAAGAAGAAGACTTACCGAGATCGAGAGAGACAAACGAGACGAGGAGGAGAATGAGGAAAACTTATCGATTGAGAGAAACAGACGCGACGAGGCGACGCGATAAGGAGAAGGAGGAGGAGACATAGGTGACAGATTGGGAGAGAGGGGCTACCGGGATAGAGTCGAGAAGAAGCGAGAGAACAGTGAGGGATTAAGGCTCTTTTTTGTTTTATACCATTAAATAATAATAATAATAATAATAATAATAATAATAATAATACCCAATAATAATAATAATAGAAATATTATTTAA